TACGGGTCGCTCACTCACTTCTTTCTTTGCTGGTGCCGCTGACGGGACCTTCACCTACGCTGAGCCCCTCGTAGCGAGCCACGGCATCATACTGATGAACCTCATCCCACGCACCTTCCGTGGCGCTCATCACAGCTTCAAAGACACGAACTGGCCATTGCTCGTTGGCTTCTGCAATCCTATTAGCGGTGAGCACCACGTTCTCCCGCCTCTGGAGTTCCACGATGCCAATGTCTACTTCAGCAAGTTCGCCATCATCACAGCAGCCGACAGCAACGATGGAGAGCAGCGGGGCAACATGTTCTCGCAGTTGCTCATCATCAGCCAATGTCCCCAGTCCGATGCGGTGTACCTCCACTCATACTCTGCCTCTACGCGTTTCTGGAGCGCACCCACCAAATGTCTGGACAAACATCGCTTCTCCATGGTGTGTGGAGATCCGCCGTCGTTCACCAGGGCACGGCGCACTGGTTGTGCATGCATTATGGGTCTAGGAAGTGTCAGGCCCGAGACAACGACTTGTACAAACTCAGCGTGGAGGTGGGCACCACGCGCGTCTCCTTGACAAAGCTCCCAATCCACGCCGGAGGCTTGCCGGTCCTCTGCGTTAACAGAGACAACAAGCTCTCTGTTGCTTGCATCTACCTTGGGCACGTGACTTTTTGACGCAACAAGAAAACGACGAAGAGGAAGGTAATGAAGGCACCCCTACGCCATGGCTCCGCACCATATTCAGAATTCCAGCGGCGGTGCTAGACCCAGACTATCGCCCTCTATAGCAGGGCGGCGCGAGGTGGTATCACTTCAACAAGGGATCGTTGCTCGTGGTGTATGACAACAACGCCGTCTTTGTCCTCGACCTTGAGGAGAAGGTGATGGAAAAAGTTAAGGATTGCTTGCTGCCCCAGAGTGACAATCAGGGTCGGGTGTTTGTGCACTACGAGATGGGCTTGGTGAACTTCTTTGGGTCTCGCCGTCCTGCTTTCCTATTGGATGATTTGGAAGCACAGGAATGACATCGTCGTGTTCAGTAAGCTCCACCTACCTTTGAACCTCGGCTACTCTCTTTGCAGCAAAGGAAGCTGCAACCGCCACCTGCCATACATGTTGTGACTGGTTCTGGTGTACTCTTCTTGTTTCGTAATATGTTATAGTCATCGATGTATGCTCGTGGGTCCTTTGTTATCCCCAAATGTTGCAATGTGGAAATAATATGTAGTCATTGATGTATGCCACATTTTAGATACTCTCCCATCCATCAAATGTTTTAATCAATGTAGCCAAAGTTTGCTTAATCTTCTGTTGTTCTCTTATTTTGTTTTGTTTCCTTCTTTGTTTCTTGATCTTCCTGTTATTCACCTTTCCCTTTTCTCTCTGTACGTTGTTTGTTTTGTTCTGTTTTAATAAATTTCTGTAGGGCCACGGCCTCCAGTTATCTCAAAAAAAAATGTTTTAATCTGGAAATAATGCCTCATGGTTCTGTTGCGTTGCAGAGCTTAGCACAAAAAACTAAAAGGAGTCTCACGATGGGGCAATACATGCAGTACGTAGTTGATCCATTCCAATGTTAATCCTGCTATTCGACCGAGGATTCATTCCATGCTCTTGGTTTTGTAGGTGTTCCTTTCTTGAATGTCTTGTGCAGTCGTGCCTGCTGCTTTCCCCTGATTTTAGCAAGGGATGGTTGAGTGATACAAAATCCCCGTCCTTGACTCCTCTGACAATTGCCTGTGCGAAAATCCTTTGCTCCCATTTGAATGACAGGCACTCAGGAAGCAGTGTAGCGTGCACGACGGCGAGCAAGCTCGTTTTTTCTCCCCTGATGAAAATTAAGCATTTTTGCGGTACCGACATAGATTAGAGAGTGATGGTTACCTGCACAAAGTACTAAGTACACGAATTATTAGATTATTTGGTGGACTTTAGTATAGTCTGGTGATTTTCAAGTAGCGGCTTTATAATTTAATTAAACTACCCTTGGCGGCCAAGATAAGCGGCGATCCGGCACAAGTCAAGCTGTCAAAGCCAAGGGCCTGCTCTCGGGGTGGCATGAAGAAGAATGAAGAAATGAAGAAAAGAATCCATCCATGTATGGTTGGAGGCCTTCACATTATTGTTGCCATGTGGATTTGCCAATGCAAAAAAGAAGAAGAAGAAGAAAAAGAAAAGAAGGCCTTCACATTGTTCGTTTCCCGTGCTGGCTTTTGGTTTGGGGTCTTGTGATGAAGGAGACGTTTCCTTGTGATGAAGCTTTTTTTGCCTTTGAGGTTGAATGGTTCATCCATGCATGCATGCATCCGGTGTTGTCAAAAGGGCACCAGGTTAAGGAAATGAGATGCACACGACACGTGTCTGCTTCTGCTGCCAAGTGCCAACCCAAGAAAAAAAAACAAAAACAAAACACTTCATTCTTTCAATTTCCCTGCACAAATCGACCACTTTTTTTCTTCTTAATTTCCCTGCACAACTCGACCCGTTTTCCTTGGGCCCTAGCTTTATTAAGAGTATATATATATATATATATATATATATATATATATATATATATATATATATATATATATATATATATATATATATATGTATATATATATATATATGTCGCAGATACTGTATTATTATTGGCATTCAAGTTTATGTTTACCGTTGCACCAGTCTGTATCCGTTGCCAGCCCTGACGACGACGTTGGCAAAAAAAAAAAACACGCTCACAGAATGGGAATATCCGATCCGTATGTAAATAAATGTAAAGAAAGACGGAGATCAGGGCACTGGCACGAGCTACATGTATGTTTGGTCACTTCCAAAATTTATCAAGTCAGAGATTTGGTAAGCCATGATTTTAACTAGTATTTGGTTAGCTATCAAAACTTACCAACTTCTCATATTTAACTTGCCAAATCTTTAGCAACTTTTTTTATTCAATTTTTGACTGCTCAATCTTTAACATGATAAATTTTGATCGCCAACCAAACAAGGCCTACTTACCTTCCTGCCCTACCTAACCAAGACCAAGATGATGCATGTACTGTTAACTGGCAGCTGCTCAACCATGACCAAGAGGTACGTACCCTAGCTAGTACAAAGTGCAACACAGTACGTGGTACGTATGGACATTCATATATCAGCTGCTCAACTGACAACGGGTAACGAGTAACGAATCATGCATGAGGAAAAAGGGGAAAGGCGCGACCTTCCCAACTGCACCTGCTGCACGAGACGTGAAAAAGGATCGGACGGAGACCCCCACGATTCCACGAAACAAGATATACCCCGGTCCGTGCTTCCAAGTTTGAACGAACGGGCTCAGGCGGCATCGCTACTTTGTTGATTGTTTATTGGAGCGGCTGGGCAGGACGACGGATGCAAGGGCGAGACTGTTCGTTGGTGTCCCAGTGACTAAAACTTAGTAGGAGGTCTCACACGAGACTGTCGCATGGGGGTACTCAGATATTAATAAAAAAATAAATTATAGAATCCATCGGTACTCCACGAGATGAATTTATTAAGTCTAATTAATTTATCATTAACACATTTTTTTTTACTGTAGCTCAACGTTGTCCAATCATAGACTAACTAGGCTTAGAAGATTCGTCTCGCAAATTAGTCGCAAACTGTACAATTAGTTTATATTTAATACTCCATATACATATCAAATATTCGATGAGACAACGACTATTAGAAAGAGGACCAAACGCCCCCTTACTTTGGCCACAATGCAAGTCGAGGTCACGAGCGTGACCAACTGGAGCGAACGAGCATCATATCCATGTCCTCGCAAAAAGGTACGGACGTACGGTCAGGGTCATCCATCGTCGGCGAAGAAAAATCCATGATTGATGGCCCCTCCACATTGTTGTTTTGTTGCTTGCAGTTTTGAGTTTTCTGTCTGCAAAAAGGAATTTCCTTTTCTTTCCTATTCTTTTTCTCGCGTTTGTGGCGAGGCGAAACCTGTCGTGACGGCTCATCCATCACGAGTCAGGACTCAGGACTAGGAGTACCACTTTTTTAGTTTGGATGAGGATGATCCAGTGTCGCCGAAGGTGACCAGATTAAGGAAACACGACGTGGGCGACACGTGGCTGACTGCCGCCACGAACACTTGCAGTGATTTGTAGCGCCGTGTACATGCTCCCTCCGTTTTTATCCGTCAGATTAGCTCGTTCTAAGTTAATTAAAAATTATAGTTAACAATATATATAAGACTTATGTATTTAGTACTATAAAAATGCTTTATTTATAATATATATAGTTCACATGCTGTGAAACTATGTAGATTTAAAAAAAAATCAATCGTCAAACATAATAGTAGCAAAAGAAGGGGTAAAAATCCTAGTCATGTGAACTCAGTTTGTCACAGACCTTGCTGTTTGGATCGTTCCCTCTTAACCAAACACATGCTAAGCATGCTTCTTTCACTTCCTTTCGTTCTTCCCAAGTACTGCTACTTCTAAGAGTAAGTATACTAAGGAGCTGTAAGTGAGGCTGAGATAGAAGAGAGAATAGAACTGGACTATATTTTAAACTTACAGCCAGCTTATGCACAAGAATCAAGAAATGTGGTAAGACAGACAAATGGGCTATAAGTCAATTAACTATTATGCGAATGGACTGTTAAATTGGTTGTAAGTCTTCATTCAGCCGGCTGTATTATTAACCTTGCTCTAAATACTCTTAATTAACGTCTTATTATTATGTTGAACTCTTAATATTTTCTTCCCAAGTTGAACGCCTTTTAAGTCGATTGTGGAACTCTTAACGTCTTAATCTATTTTATGTACCTTCAGCTTACGTTGAATTTGTACTAAACTTTTACTAGAGCTACAGTAATGGTTTTCTGTGCAATTTGTACGTAAAATTGGTGTGACTAAAAATTTCAGATGTTGAGAAAGGAATATTTCACTCGATTCCTAACGCCTTTGAATTCGATTGTGGAACTCACGTGCCGGGAGGCGTGACCGACCGCATTCAAACGGACGGATGGCGGGCAGTTCCGGGCCATGGTGCATCGGTGCTTTGCTTTCGCTTTGTTCGCCCGTGCAGTGGCGGTTGGGGTGGCGGCCGGCGGGCAGCGGGCAGCCAACCGGTGGCGCACGCAAAGCATGCAGCACGTACACAACGAGACAACTCAAAGCGCCGCCTACCAACCGAAAAGGCGAGAAAAAACTAAGCCAAGATCGGAAGAATTATCCAAATGTCGCCGGCCTGCGGGCCGCCACCAGAGCACAGCAGCAGGCAGCCAGGCACCACATCTCCCTTGCAGGCTAAGCGAGCTACACCTTTTTGTTTGCGCCGTCCGCGCCGATCCTATATATGCATCCATCCACCTCCACCACCCAGGCACCCAGCACGGCAAAAAGCCTAGCACCAAGATAGCCGCACTTGCTAACCGTCTCGTCTCTCGTAGCCCCATCCCAATCCCATCCATCGGCCGGCAGGTAAACCCCCTCTGGTTCGACGACGTCGATCGATCGTACAGCGGGTGTAGTATATATATGGAGGTGCACGCGGCGCCGGCGGTGGGGAAGCGGCTGTGGAGCTACGTGCGCGCGGCCTTCTTCATGGCGCGCAACGGCAAGCGCAAGCTCCTCCTTAGCATGCACCTCCTCGCCAACAAGCGCCGCACCAAGGCCGTCACGCGCGCCGTCGCCAACCTCCTCACCCACCACTCCCACGCCCACCACGGCACCGACTACGAGTTCTCCTGCTCCAACAGCCCCGCGGACCCCGCGGCGGCCTCCTCCTCCTCCAGCAGGCGCCGCCTCGCCTACTTCCCCTGCCTCGGCGCGGTGGCCGAGGAGGAGAGCTACGAGTACGGGTACCAGTACGACGGGTACGGCTCCCTCTCCCTCCACGACGCCGAGCCCGCGCTTCCCCTCGCCAGGATCGACTACTACGCCGCCGCCGCATCATCGCCCGCGCCACCTTCGTCGCCCGGGGACCTCGACCTCGCGCCGGGCGATGAGGAGGAGTACGCCTGCGCGCTGTCGTCGTCGGCGTCGCCCGCGCTGCTGCTCCCGGGCGCCAGCGGCGAGTTCTCCGTGCGGGTGTCCAACTACTCGTCCGAGGACGAAGCAGGCGTCGGCAACCAGGCCGTGGACGCCGACGCGGAGGAGTTCATCCGCCGCTTCTACGACCAGCTCCGCCGCCAGAACACCGTCGCCTTGCTCCCCTACTACATGCAGCAGGAATCCATCGCCTGATCGCCGCCACGTGAATCGTGATCGCCTCGGAAGGCCGGCTGCTGGACCCTTTTGCGTGCCGAGTGATTGCCGCTGGCCATGTGAACGTGATCGCTCGGGGTCGGAGATGATCGTGATCAACCACACGGCACGTACGGTGCTTTAATTTGGATGGATTCCTTTGCTTCACATTGCTTGGTGTGCATGCATGGGATCGCGTGTGTACAGTACAGCAGAATGTACTCGTATACAAAGCTGCAGTGTGTAGGTTTAGGTCTTTGAGTCCCCGTTGTTTTGGTTGCTGGGACGATCGAGTACGTGCAGATGCAGTGTAGGTTTATTTCGGTGTTGCACTGTATGTATCGCGCGTTTTTCTTCTTTCTTTCGTGTGTACTGTGCTAGCAATAATAGCAAGTCATGCATATCCATCGATGTAAGATATGTAAGGCTCTCATGCTATTATGTACAATATATGCACTAGATGCGAAATAAACTATGTCAAAGTGCAGTGGTTTGCCACCTTTAAATATCTTACTTTGTTCATCATCGTCCACAAGACCAGAACGCATGATTTTGTATCGTGTGTTGGACTTTTTTTTTTTGGCGATTCGACTACTACTACTGCCTTCTTAGATTTTATATTATAACCTCTTCTGTTTAGCTTTAAAAAAATGTATAACCTGCTGGCCTCCTGTGAGATGAGCACTGAAGGCAACAGCTGCGTTTTGTGGGGGCAATCAACGACGGCAACTAATATAATTGCATTGGCTGGGCAGACAACGGATGAATTAATCCACTTGGTCTCGTCTGGATTTTGTTTGGTGGGTGGGAAGCGATCGCACCACACGATGTGTCAAAGGCTCAACGCTAGCGCTTTTTTTTTTTTAATTTCTTGATGAAAGGTAAAGCTAGCTAGCCAAAACCCAATCCACCTATGAAGCGTCGGTGCATATATATAAACCAATTATTATTAGTTCTTAAACAACGAGCACGATATATAATACTCATACATACGTAGTGTAAAGGGAATAAGGTTCGGTACGTAATTACCAGTGACTAGCCTTCGTTTCAGAATTGCCATCCGATCCATCCACACGACAGTCTGAATCTTTTCGTAAGGCCTTATTCGGCCGATGGTTTGTACGGCTGATAAGCCGGTGACGCTGTTTTGTTGTGAGAGAAAAATATTATACTATGACTGATAAGCCGGACTGATCAGTACTTGCGTTGATGTGGATAATGAATAGTCCGGCCTCTTCGATTACTGGGTCCCTAATGACGGACGGATCGCATATTATCGAGACAGATGCTACTCCTACTTAAAGAAACTAATTGGAAATGGCACGGAAAATAGGACGCTTGACAGAGTGCGGTCGTTTGTTGCACGGCAGCACTGCAAGTGTGTACAGCACTGAGCTGGATCTGGACAATGATCAAGTGCTGATAGTAGTTCTGAGTACAGCTGTGGCCACTGTCTAGCCTTCCTTAATGCAGCTTTATTTGCTAATCATGGGCTATCATGATACCAGCAACAACTCAACCTAATCCACACTCGTATACACAACAAACTCTCGAGTCACCATACAAGTACAACGTACCAGTACTAAACAGAGAAAGAGCAGAGCAGAGAGCAACAAATCTGGATGCATTAGCTGCCCAATTTTGTAGGAAAAAATAGTTATAACACTAGTAGGAGTACTAGTAGTATGTCCTGTTCGGCTTACCCCATATTTGGTTTGCTCGGTTTCTTTTTTAGCTGGAAGAGAGTTTTTCTCTCATAATAATTCAGCAGGAATAGTATTTTTCAGTCAGTTTCAGTCAAGTTTCAGATCAGCGAACGGGGCCATGTGTAGGAAAGGTTTGTTACTGTGCTTGGAGGAACCGTGGTTCCTCTCCGTGGATTTTTTTTCGGCCACCTAAAAAATACTAAGTTTGCTCCTGGACTAATTAACATGCACTAGCCTGGCCGCTGGGCACCTGGCCGCATGGCCCCTGCTTTTCTGGCCGCCGGAGCAATGGCAGACGGCGCCACGTCAGGGCCAGCGGGCCGCAGAATCATCGACGGAGCGACTGGCTGTGGGGGAGCGGCGTGCAGCAGCAGCAGCACGTCCTGTGGCAGCGGCGGCGCGTCGCTCACCCACGGCTCGTTGCCCACGAGTACCCTGATCCAGGCGGCGGCCACGCACGCTCCACGGGCGCCGGAATTGACTTCTCAGAAATCTGAGGGAGGAAACTGCAGGGGCCGCCCACCGGGGGCGCGCACGCCAGGGAGCCTCCGCACCAGATTCCGCGCTCTGCGAGCCGGGGGCTGCCGCGACGCCCGCACTTGGAGAGGGAGGAAGCTGCAGGAGACACGAGAGAAGGAGAGAGCAACTTTTGAAACACGAAAATACTAATCTACCCTTTAAATGTAATCTAAAACTAGTTTATGGTCCATATAATTTTGGTTTACGGCCTACGACTTAAGTTCCTCTATATTTGTTCTTTCTCTTCTTATTTATAACCATTAGATCTACTCAAATGGATGGCTCTAGTTTATTTCAAGCACTATAAAATTTCTCTGTGTAGGCAAAGCATGCTGTTCGTAGCTAGAAGTGGTTGTCTGCTCGGCGTTGTTAGGTTGATCTCTCCATCAAGATTGGCCCAACGGTCAACTTGGGCCTTGATCCAACGTCCTGATCGGGGGCGTCCAACCCTATATGGTTGGTGGGCCCCCGTCGCACTGCACTATATAAATAGGTGAGGACCGGCGGCTCGCAGTACGAGGTTCACCGTGGCCACAGTACCCCACCGACACAACCCTAACCGATCAAGGGTGCGCAGCAGCGGCCGGAAGCGCCGCCACCGTTCTTCACCGTCTCGTTGTCACCAAGACGTCTACGCCGCCGCAGGGGCGCCACTGCTACTACACCATCGCCAACCTCACCACCGCCCCCATGGCGGACTCTTCTTCCAGGCATCCCTACCCCCCCCCTCTCTCTCTCGATCCCTCTCGCTCCAGTTCGTACTCTAGGTCATTTTATCGCGAATAGAAGCATGTACACCCACTGATATATGCCTAGTTGACCCTGGTTTATGCTCACAATGGTATCGGAGCCTTACACTAGCGTGTAGATCTAGATCGGGGTAAATTATGATATTGTTATTTTCTGACCAAAGTTGATGATAGCGATATTATAATTTTTTATTCATAATATTTTATGCATTAGTTCTATTTCTGCCCAACGGTGATGTATAATTAATGTAGAAGCACATTGTATGTTTTAATTTTGACCAACGTTAAATTATGGCATGCATTTATTATGTTAAATGTTTCTCACTTTCTCTGACATTGTTTTCAGGCTATAACCCAATGACATTTATCTCGTCCATTCTGCCTCTCAATAGGAGCAATTATAACACATGGCGAGAGAAGCTTGAGATAACACTTGCACTCTCGCACGGTGATCTAGGACTTATCTCTCCATGTCCCACTTGAGCCTGTGGACTGGTGAGGGTAGAAAATAAGACCGATGCAACTTTCGCTACTCGGCAGCGTGACCATGCGAAGTGAGAATGAAGTACGATCTTGATTGCGCGAAGTGGGATAGTTCAAACCGCAAGTGTTTGATGGTGATTAAGGGCACCATTGAGGATCCAATAAGGGGTTCGATCCTAGAATGTACCACCACCACTGGGTATCTCAAGAAGGTAGAGAGTCAGTTTACTGGCTCTTTAAAGGCTTTTGGAAGCACTCTAATTAAGAAGTTAGTCAATGAAAAATACTCTGGTGGAGAGATTAGAGAGCACATATTGAAGATGAGCAACACGACATCTAAGCTCAAGCCAATGGACTTGGGACTCAAGGATGAGTTCCTAATTCATTTGATTTTTGCTTCTTTGCCCAAAGAATATGAGACTTTTGTTGTGAACTACAACTTACAGCCAGATAAGTGAGACATTGAGAAACTCATTACAATGTGTGTGCAAGAAGAGGAGAGACTTAAGAGCTCACATGGTGACTCAGCGATTAACCATGTGAAGGAAAATAAAAGGAAGAACTTTTACAACAAGAAATACAAACCACAAGGGAAACCTCAAAGTGGAACAATAGCTCCTCCTCTAAGTCATAAGGAAAGGCCCCTCGGAAAGATCACCATCAAAATCCAACTATGTTCAAGTGGACAAGGACACACCGCAAATGGTGCATGAAGAAGACCGGACACTATCGGAAGGATTGTCCAGATTTCAAGCAAGCACTGATGAGAAACGGTGAGGATATTATTACATTCAGTAGATGAGTTCTTGTATTTAAGTTATGCAAAATCTACTTGGTGGATTTGATTCAGTGCAACTATTCATGTTGCAAATTCATTCTGAGGGATTACATATGAGGAGGACTCGCAAAGAGGAGAAAGACACATTAAGGTGGCGAATGGAGTCCAAGCTGAAGTTGAAGCCATTGAAGAACTCCCATTAGAATTTAATGATGGCTTTGTACTTAAGCTTACAGATGTCCTTTATGTACCCTCTTTGCGTAGAAACTTAATAAGTGTTTTACGTTTAGACGATGATGGATTTGATTGTCATTTTGGTAATGATAAATGTAAGATAATATTTAATCATATTGTGTGTTGGTCTTGCCTTCCGACAAGACGAGCTATATTTGTTATCACTTTCTAAGAATGTGAATGCTGTGAGCACTAAGAATGAGAATGCCTCCTCGTTTATGAATGCAGGAAATAAGCGGAAGAGAGTTCATGATGTATCATCGAAATTATGACACTGTCGTTTAGGCCATATTTTGAGGGAGGGAATAGAACGATTGGTTAAGAAATCAATTCTTTCGCCATTAGAATTTTCAAATTTAGAACAATATATTGATTGTATTAAAGGAAAGTATTTTAAGAAAATAAAGAAAGATGCCAAACGAAGCGCATGAATTTTAGAAATAATTCACATACATATATGTGATCCTTTTCCTGTGAAAAGTGTAGATGGTTATGATTCATTTATAATATTCACAGATGATTATTCTCGTT